TATTAAAAATAAATATAATTAACTTAACGTTTTAAATTATAAAATAAGTAATATTTGATTTCTATATTTTTAGAATAATTATTAATATTAATATTAATATTTAAATTATTATTATCATTAAAATTATAAACATCTTGAAAATTAATTTATTTCCAAGAACTTTATTTTATAAAAACTATAAAATTATTATTAATTCTAATAAAACTATTATTATATTTTAACCTATATATAATATAATAAGCTTTTTTTAATTTTACTAACTATATATAATAATTTATAAAATAAATAATATATTATATTATTATACCTTTTTAGATTAATATTCTTATTATTATTTTTTATTTAGACTTATTACATAGATTAAGCTAAGAAGATAAAATATAATATTATTAAATAGAATATAATAGTATTATAGATATAATACTAATAAATAATAATTAAAAGCTTATTTTAGTATAAAATAATATAGCTATTCTATTTATAATCCTAAAAAGTAAATAATTAAAATATATTATTAAAATAGAGTTTAGAGAAACTATTAATCTAATTTAGAATATAGATATTATTATTTTAATAAATAGCTAGCTACTAATTTATATTAGATTTTTAGTTAAAAAGTTCTCTTAAGTTATAATAAACTTTAATAAGCTTATAAGGTTTCTTGATTAGTTAATACTTTGAGAATTAAACCTATTCATAACTATAAATAATATATTATTACATAAAATCTCTAAATTTATTAATATTTTGGTAATTCTTAATAAATAGAATATTAAAATTTATAATAGAAATACAATATTTATATAATACCTTGAAAAAGAGTCCTTAAAAACGTTCTAAATAAATAGGATATTCATTATAATAAAAGGATTATTTTTATATTAAGTAAATAGTAAATAAAGATTAAACTTATTAGTAAATAGTAAAATAAAAAAGGTATAGTAAAACCCTATTTACTAAATATGAAAGATTTTAATTTTACTAAAAATATTTATAATAAACTCTATATAGATAATAAAATATCTTAAAGAGATAGTTTAATCTTAATTATAAATTTAATATTTATTATTTAAAGAATTATTAATAATGAAGAAAACAAGCTACATTATTATAGATCTCTAACTATTTAACTACATTATAGTTTTAGATATATATTTAATATTTAACTAAAATAATACTATAGTTATTTTTAGAAATAAAGAATATATAACTATAATAAATGTTATTAGCTTTTTTTATTAGCTATTTATTTATTTTAAATTTTGTAATAAAATAATAATAATTAGTTTTTATAGTATTAAAATCTCTAATATAGTTTTTATAAAATTGAAGAGTTTCTCAATATATATTTAGAGGTTTATAAATAAATTACTCTCTTAAAGAAAGAGACGGCGTATTTGCGGCCGTTTCAGGCAGGTTCTGCCGCCAAATTCAGCGGGACATCTGCCACAAAACCCTCGCCGCTTTAACCCAGGCGGCAAGGCCACCAAGCGAGCCAACCCTTGTCCCGTCCCAGGCTTGTACCTCGGGGTACCGACCAAAGTACTGACCAAAGTTCCTCAGCCACACCTCCCAGAACTGCCCAAATGGCCCTGCCAGTCACTCTTCACTCAACTGACGTTCCAATTCTTGCTTGGCGCGTCGCTTTCCAACAGCCAAAAATAGCCACCATAATGGGTCCTGCAATGGCTTACCTTCTCGTACTACATAAATCGCGGTCGCTGCAGTGCCTTTGCGAGCGGTTACCTCAATCCATCCGCTCTCAAAGCCTGACTATTACTACTCGTTTGGCCAGCCTCTCCGCCAGCAAGTCTTCTGTTGAAGGTGCGCCGTTCCTCGTTCCACAATGTCAAATCGCCGACGCAAACACGCGGTCGCTTATGATTCCGATGCATCTTTCTCGGCTGACGATGACTACGACGACTACGACGATGTTTTCGATGCGAAGGAGCAACAAGGTTGTTCGGATACCGATGCAACCGATGCTGAAGATCTTTACGAAGACGACGATTTTGATGTAGAGGACCAGGTCCGGCTCTTTGACGGGAATGTCCATCCACCCGAGTACTGGCGGCGCAATGTGGAGGGGTTTAACGAGGATCCTTACGCCTGTCAAGATTATAGCCCCGGGACGACGGTGCTGCTTGATGCCGTAGAGGAACAGTGGCGCCAGTAAGTGCCGGCAACAACTTATACTTTATAAGCTACTTACACTATATGTTTACAGATTCTGTAGTGTTCTCAAGCGCGACATAGAAGACTGCTACGCGACGATCTCCCTTGGCCTCCTGTATAACTTCTTTGACTGGTTCCTAAGTCAGAAGGTCGGTAAGGACGGTAGAAAGAAACGCGGAATCAAGAAGAAGAGCTCCTTGGGCACATACTGGAAGGTCTTTCGACTCGTCTTCGAGAGAGCCATGGGCGACAAAATTGACCAGAAGCTGAACCGCAGTATGCATAGGGAAGGTCTGTCCCACCACAGCGCCAACACTCCCACTAACTGGGTCAGGTTCTGCGAGATCTCGCAAAGAAGCACGATTTGAGCGAGCAGCGGCGAGCTAATCGCTGTATGACGATCGACGATCTCAAGCAGCAGATCGAGACGACGCTTAGCACGACAAAGAAATCGTTTAAACTAGGAGAGTTACGCATCCTCGCCGTGCTCTTTCTCCTCCTGCTTGCCCCGGCTGGTTCTCGACCAGAAGCGACTTTAAACCTGCGGTTCAAGGATATTAGGGTCGCTCTAGCGAGAGATCCAGAAGGCGGACCACATAAGCTTCTTCTTCGGTTCACACCAGAGTTCACTAAAACCTACCTTGGCGAGAAGGAACAGTGAGTATGGTCCTGGTCTGCTGCAATCTATGAGATATGCTGACATCTCAGGAAAACATACACAGTTCCTGAGACTATGTTCGACCCGTCCTTACTCCTAAGCCCCCACGTCTTCCTTCTAGGCGTCCTCTTCCGACACCGAGCTTTCAACGCATCCAACCTCACCTCGCCACACCATCTTGATATCCTCGATATACATCCCGGGGAACGGGAGCTACCACTACCGTTAAAGGAGGACCTGAACAACACCTTCATTTTCCGTCGAGCTGTTGAGACATTAACAGGCTACCAAATTTCCCCTAACGAACGTATATCTTCTGGCATGATGGCGGCGTGGATTAAGAGAATCGGCGAAATCCTAGGCTTTGAGTACCCTACGATAGCCTATAACTTGCGTTATAACGCAGCCAACGCGTTTGACCAAAGTGGTGCGTCTCATTCGTACTGCTGTAACTAGCTACGCTAATGTCCATCACAGTCGACGTCAGCGAAGCTCTCCGGAATCTTGCTATGGGGCATGGCAGCTCAGACCCGTTCCAGAGGCATTACCTCGGGCGGAACATCTCCGCCGACCTCTGGGGCATCCTTCGCGGACAAAGGCCACAGCAAGAGCTTATGAAGCAGTCTTGCAGCATTGGTCACTCTATCTCTAAACGCCGCCCTATCGATCTCACGCCGGATCAGTCTGCATCTGTCACTACGCATCCCACTATCAGGGAGCTGACGAGGGCCCTCCGAGAACTGCCACCAGGCTCCAAACAGTACAAAGAAGCTACACGAGCGATACGAAATGAAAAGCAAAGACTTAGGAGAGAGCTGAAACAGAAGATCAGAGATGAGTGGACTAACAAGCAGGCCACTGACGATATCGAGCGCCAAATCCAGGGCGTTGGGTTTGCCGAGCCTGCGACAGGAGGTGGCTGTCGACCTCAGGGCCCGGCACAAAAGCGATTGCTCGCCAAGCTCACCACCCCGATCGTGACTACACTCGATGGTCAATACCGACGGAGAGATGACGCCATCAACGCAGTGTCTGCGTACTGTTCTGTTCAGGAAGGATGCACCATACGCCGGTGTCACCCTCCGTTGACACCGAAGGCCGCACTTTTTGACCCACCTTGTGACCCGTCGGAGGCCAGCCTATTGTATCTTGCCACGCTATCTGTTTTTGTCACCAGTGAAAACCAGCGGCCAAGAAGATGCTTTATATGTATTGGCCAGGCCATAGGTCTGCCACCAGGCGATGAGGATCGGTTGGACGACCTCACCCGTGAATTTTATACCTCCAACGACCTAACCAAGCACTTCCGACGTAAGCACTTATCCAAAGTCGCAAATGGCGACAACATAGAGTGTAAGGTTTGCGACATGACGCTTGACCACAAGATGCACCTCCAGAATCATGCCTTCAAGATTCACGGCACTGTGTCTTGAGCACTTGTCTACGCCATTCTCCTGTGGGCGGGGTTTCTAGGTTAGGGATGATATATCGAGTTCCCAAACGCCGAGCGTAACTCTAGCTCGCACAATTCGACGATGCGATATGCCACAGCTACGAATCATGATACACTTAGCGAGGATGTAGGGGGCTCTTGTGGGTGGTATTTGGCATATGACTTTGCCCGACAGCAATACGGGGGTTTGCAGAAAGAGCCGTTTAGCTTCAAGGTCTTGAGCTTGCTTTGTGGATATAATTAGGATTCTACTTAATTTTGAATGGATGATAGCTTTGTGATTTGCAATCGTGACCCTGCTCATTGGATATGGGCTGAGCGAACAGGCCTAGTTATGACTCTAGTACTATTAGTTAGAAGTACCACGGACAGTTATAGAACCCGATATTGTAGGCTTCACGCATACTTCCCCATCCCCTCACCGGGAACGTTGGATGCCGAGGCAGGCGGACCTGCCGGAGACCGCTAGCGTGACTGTCGCCAAACTGACCGAAGCCCTGCCTAGTGCTACACTTGCTTCAGCACAAGCATCGATATGATATGGATGAGACTGGCATCGCAGAAGGCAACGTGGACTGCTACTTGGTCCTTAGATAATCGAGGAGGCGAAAGATCTACGTCAAGAAGCCTGCATCACGAGCCTGGACGATCATTGTCGAGTATGTCTCCGCCACAGGCAGGGCTATCCCTCCACTCGTCACAGTATTATGCTTCATGCCCGTCGCCAAGGAGGCTGCTCTGGCACGCGCTGCGAAACCCACATCCCAAGCACCTGATGCCGCGAGATCTTCAGTGCAGCAAGTTCGCAGGGTCCCGAGACCCAAGGCGGTGCGATGTTCCGCAAAGGGGACGGCTTGTGCTAGCTTTGACGGAGAATTCGACTGGAAGAAGAGACTCGAGGCCAAACTCGGCCCAGCCACGACAGCAATAGTCTTCACTGGCGACTTCGTTCTCACACCGTAAGTGGACATATTTCTGCTGCACTACGCTCTTAGAATGACGAGACACCTTAGTCGTGCAATATGAGCTTCTTAGGACCAAAATCCAAATCATGCTAAACGTAAATCCACAGCCAACACATAACCTGGTCTCGCACTCAACCTCCTGCGACAAAGTTAAGTCCTTCGAATTCAACTACCACAACGTGGGGTACGATGCCACAAACAATGCTACGGCTTTGACAGATGATTGTATCATCAAATTGGCCCGAGCCTTCCCCGCGCTCCAGACTGGCAAGTTGCCAGGAACTTCTGATCTTACCGAAAAGTCTCTTAGTGCTTTTTGCGAGCACTGCCCAGACCTCAAAGTGCTCGAGCTTACAGCAGCTTCGCGACGTCAGACCATGATAGCGGGCGAAGGGTTCAGAGTCATTAAGGAGCACTCGGAATGGCCCCCAGGTCTAAGAAAGTTGAAACTCAGCGCAGAGTGCTACGCACATGAGAAAACCTTCATGTCGCCGATGCGGAAAATGTCTAAGGCACGAGAGCAGCTCCTCATCAAACTCGTCGAGGTTAGAGAACAGAAGAAGTGGGGAGACTGGGAGCTGGAAATCTGGGATCGCGGAACTTATCGAAAGGGCAGGAAACAGCCCTGTTGGTGATATATGAACCGATCTGGATGTTTATTCTATGTCAGAAACAAATCACAGACCAGATATATATAGTCAGCGCAGCCGCCAACAACGCAAGGTCCAACTAAGTCAAGCAAATGAAGCTATTCAGACCACCCAAATAAGTAAGCCAACCCCCCCGATTTGGATTGGTTGATTTGACTCATGACTAAGGTACTCTGACCAATGAGCGTGCTGGATTTCAGTCTCCCTCCGTCCCTCACCCTCCATACTTCACCCACCAGCCCCTTCATCCCTCTCCTGATCGATGATTTCTTTCCTTAACCTTTGTTGACGATATAAGGCGTCGTTTTTCCCATTTAAATAGCTATATGTCTATCATCAGCTTCATCCAACCTTACCTTCCCAGCTCCTACTTGATCCCCTTATGGTCACTACCTCTGTAGCTGTCACCACCTCTGCCATACATACAAGGTGATATTTCCTTCTGTCTACTGTACAGTCTACTGATGAGGCTGTTCGTAGATGTTAGAGCCTCTCCATCTCCGACCTTCAACCTATCCTATGGGGGAAGCGGCGATTCGTCGTTGAGGAGCAGCTGGCCCGTAAGGAAAAGGCCGTACAACTTGGGTACGGGCTTATGGCGTCTTCCTTGTCAAACTCACACGCAACAACGAAGCTGGGCCAGCCTCCTGGTGTTGCCGACGATGTGACGAAAAGGGGCGGCCCGAATTCTTCTCCGCAGTCGCCACCAGCTCTGCTCAAGAGCATCTACGTCGGTAAGTCTTTATTGTCGTGAAGCTATTCACAACTTACTAATCTCATGAAGGGTTCATCATACTAGCCCTTGTGACCCCATTGATAGGCACAGGGATGACCTCTCTTCTGATGAGACAGCCACACCATCCCCTTCACAATGTCCCCGCCTCACCACCTCGAATATCCCTTGATCGAAGGTCGCTATTATTAGGGATCTCGCCCTTACTGCGATTATTGGTCAAGACCTTTCTTTCAACCACTTCGACGATACCTTCCTCCAGCGCCTCCTTCGCTTCCACAACGTCGATCTATTCGCTCAGGTGCCATGGGGTAAAACATCAATGGCTGACCACCTTGAGACTATATGGAGTCGAGGCAGAGCAACAGTCAAAGCTGAACTCCGCGATGCCTCCACAAGGATTCATCTCCCTTTCGACCTATGGACATCGCCGAATATTTATGCTTTTATGGCTGTCACTGCCCACTTCCTTAACTCAAAGGGGAAGCACCAATCGCGCCTCCTCGCCTTCACTCAGCAACAAGGAAACCACTTTGGTGTCGACCTTGCGACCACCCTCGAAGATACTGTGACGGATTGGGGCTTAGTTAACCGTATAGGAATAGTGATCTGCGACAACGCTACGAATAGCGACACTTGCTTGGCATCCTTCTACCCATGGATCAACCCCAGGATGACTTCACGTGACTGCAAAGCACATCGAATGCGTTGTCACGGTCATATCCTCAATCTTGTGGCCAAGTCCCTCCTCTTCGGCAGCGACTTCGAGATCTTTGAGGCTGAGTCGGAATTCTACCGGACAGTCCATCGCGATGAGGAAGATCTGAAACTTTGGAGGAAGACTGGGCCTGTGGGCAAGCTTCGGAACATCGTGCGGTTCATCCGCGCCTCTCCAAAACGGTCAGAACGCTTTAAGAAGGTTGCAAAGGCGGTTGGCGGTGGTTCTCATTACTGTCTCTTCACCAGAAGCTCATCAGAGCTACATTTAATCCTCAACAATAATACCAGGTAGAATTCGTACTACTTAATAATCGAGAGGGCAGTTGAGAAGAGGCATGAGATTCGGGCTTACCTTTAGGTCTCAACATGAGGAGGCCTCCCTCCAAATTCCTACCTCTGATCACTTAACGGATGAGGATTGGCTTTTTCTCGTTGAGGTTAAGAGCCTCCTGGAGCCCCTCTTTTCCAGACAAAACGAACGAAGGGATAGGGCAAGGGAGACGGGGAGGATCAGCAACTACCTACTCGCACTGAGGTCGTCAGCTCGGCGATCCTTCGACGAGAGCTCTCTTGCGGATCACGTGGAGGTTGACTGGGCCCGGCGAAGGGCTGAAGCCACTTCGCAGTTCCGTCGCCTCCGGCAGGGGTACCAGGTGAATCCTCGGACCTCTATTGAGCTGGCTTGGCAGAAGCTGAACAAGTATTACTCAGCTCTTGCTGAGCCACCCCTCTTTGCTGCTTTAATTATTCTCCATCCCTACATTGGTTTCGATTACCTCGAAGTATGGGGTAGAGATGGCCAAGGGGCATGGGTACGGAGTGCGGAAAAGCGGCTGGAGCGCTTCTTCAATAAGTGGTATAAGGACGACGATGTGTCAGTCATATCACTAACCTCCTCGTCAGCCTCATGGTTAGCCCCATCTTCACACGAGGACAGCCACTTCAGAGAGTGGCTGAGAAGTCGTCGCAGTCAGGAAGCAAGGGCGACGTCTGACGAGCTTAACTCATACCTCAGGCAAGCCCCAGAGGAGACGGATGACCCTGCGCGATGGTGGCTAGACCGTCAGGCTCAGGGATCGATGAATTCGTAGTTCATCCGTAACATCTAGAGAGACCTGTGAATAGCTTCAATTATTTCCTAATTAGGCAATCCAAGCAGTCACGTGCCTTTGATTCGATGGATTCATCAACAGGGCCAAATGAGCAAGGATTTGGCGGCGATGAGGCAAATCAACGGATATGAGGGCCGATTTGCTTTATTTGCTTTGGCGGATGGATGATCCATCCGCCCCCAGGTAGTAGGGTAGCGCAGAAGCCTGATTACAACGTCGCTAATGCCTACACCCACCTGGACCTCTACTTGGAGACATAGGCCAAGTAGGGCCTCCCCACGGGCGCTACGCGTAGCGCAGTGCAACGTGGGAAAGATAAGCCCGGCTCATACAACTCTACTTGAGCTATGCCGAAGATGACATACGCAGACAGGCACAACTCGCATTAGCTTTTGAGAGAAAAGGATATGCGGTAAATACTACGTGAATAATCATATGAGCCCTGAATAGCTAAGCTACGGCGTAATGAACGATGATGATACCTAGCAGCCATGTTGAATGAGCCGCGTTTGCCCGTTCCCATGATCTTTATGCGATATAGAGTTCAGTTACCTCACCGAAGTTTATGGCACTCTCGTAAATCCAACCGACCCCAAGCCTTATCAACGGTGAATTGCCTGCGTCAATAAACAGGACGTAGTATTTGCGATCTCCCATTTGTGCGTTCACATCCCTTCCTATCAACGCACACCGCAGCTCCTCACACATCTCGGGCATTGACTGGTCAAACCAGAGATGTGCGACCTCCTGTGCCTCCTCGTATGCATTCCATTCGTTGTCATGCTTTCTCTGAAACCGTATAGCTGTTCGGCATTTGGCTCCTCGAACCTTGAGACGTACTGGATCCTTGAGTCCTACCAGATCTCCCAAGAATCCGGCACTGGTGTCCCACTCGGGTCCGTTTTCAACGTCCAGATAGTCGATACGTCCCTTGTATGCCATCCAAGACCACGTTGGAGGCGGGAGGTGAGGAAGCTGAGCCTGACTGAAATCGAGAGGTCCGGAAAACTCATGCTCTAGTGGATCTCTAATTCGACGCCAAAGGAGGCTACGGTGCAGATATGGCCTGGTCCCAAAGATGCCATTGTAGACTCTTCCACCTTCAACTTCGTTGCCTTTAGTTATTGGTGGGTCGAAAACTTTGGCCATCGCAATGGCCAATGACTTGATTGCAGTTGGTCTATCCGTTGGCTCTGTGAGACCGTAGGTGGAATAATCACCGAAAAGAGATTGGAAGAGAGCGATCTGAGTAGCTACCGAGCGGTCTTTGAGGGACGCTGGGAAATTTGGATCGCTTCGGAAAGATATTTTCCCACTTCTTCGTTAGCAAAAGACGAACGTAATTCGCAACTGAAACCAGCTCACTTTGTCAGGTAGCCGAATGGGCCCGAACACACACCTCTTCCACACTCCAAGAACAGTTGCTTCTGTGTGAAATGGAGAATGCGACGCGAGAGGGTACGTTCCTGTAACACCCATGCGCGCTTGTTCAACACGCCTTGTTCAACGGCATCCCGGAAGTCTGGCCCGAAGTTCGTTTCCCAAGATTCGGGATCAGGGACTGTGACTGGCCCATTGAGAAATCCTTCATCGGAATTCCTCGCAGAGGTTGCAGCAATAGTGCAGTAAGCGTTCTTGAAGACCTCATACATTTTCTCGGACTCTATTCCCCAATCCTCTTTATCATCCTGATTGATGCAAAGAGAGTCGATCCAGAGGTATCGCTTACCAATCATCTTGGTCATAATGGCTGCGTGTTGGAAAGTTCTCGGCAGGTCCTCGAATAAAAACGTCCGGTTGTCGCCGCAGAACTGATACTTTGCTTTTTCGAGTTTCTGGTCACCCCATCTGCCCCAGCAATGGGACAGAGCGACGTACTTTGCCTCGCTCATCGATAGTTGCGATGAGTCGACAATGTGCACATTCCCGGATTTTTGATAGACCTCGTGGGTGGGAGAGACTGAATGAATGAAGTTGGTGGGCAGATCGTTCAAATCGTTCAAATCGTTCAAATCAATCAGCCTGGTCGGCAGATCATGATCTGTGTCGTTGAAACATGCCTGATGATCTTTATCACAGCAACAAAGCCAGGCTCTGACCAAAGAAATCTGATCCAAGACAGGAAGTTGTTGATTGCCAGACTGGTCTGGATACAGTGTAAGCATTCGATTTCTTGGAGCATACGCTCGAAAGCCTTACCACGCCTTATAACAAGGGCTCGGGGGACATCCATGATTCGAACTCGGTACCATGCGTCCTTACCGAACTGAATTGTTTACAAAAGGGTAAGAAGTCGCAGAGGGATAAGTTTAATTGGAGAGGGCCGGCACATACCCGCTGGTTCAGCACAAACGCAACACATCAGCAAAGACTCCATCATTATTATAGATAAGGCCAGGACTTACAATCTGTTTCACCACAAACACAACACATCAGCACCGACTCCATCATCATCATAGATGAGGCCAGGACTTACCCCCTATTTCACCACAAACACAACACATCAGCAAAGACTCCATCATCATCGTAGATGAGGCCAGGACTTACTTGCTATTTCACCATAAACACAACACATTAGCAAAGACTCCATTATTATCGTAGATGAGGCCAGAACTTACTTGCTATTTCACCATAAACATAACACGTTAGCAAAAACTCCATTATCATTCTAGATAAGGCTAGCACTTACTTGCTATTTCACCACAAACACATCAGCAAAGACTCCATCATCATTATAGATAAGGCCAGCACTTACTTCCTATTTCACCACAAACACAACACATCAGCAAAGACTCCATCATCATTCTAGATGAGGCTAACACTTACTCGCTATTTCACCACAAACACAACATATCAGCTAAGACTCCATCATCATCGTAGATAAGGTAGATAAGGCCAGCACTTACCTCCTATTTCACCACAAACACAACACATCAGCAAAGACTCCATCATCATCATAAATGAGGCCAGCACTTACTCGCTATTTCACCACAAACACAACACATCAGCTAAGACTCCATCATCATCGTAAATAAGGCCAGCACTTACGTACTATTTCACCACCAACACAACACATCAGCCAAGACTCCATCATCATTCTAGATGAGGCCAGCACTTACGTACTATTTCACCACCAACATAACACATCAGCAAAGACTCCATCATCATCGTAAATAAGGCCAGCACTTACTCGCTATTTCACCACAAACATAACACATCAGCAAAGACTCCATTCTCATTATAGATGAGGCCAGCACTTACCTCCTATTTCACCACAAACACAACACATCAGCTAAGACTCCATCATCATCGTAAATAAGGCCAGCACTTACGTACTATTTCACCACCAACACAACATATCAGCTAAGACTCCATCATCATTCTAGATAAGGCCAGCACTTACCCCCTAGTTCACCACAAACATAACACATCAGCAAAGACTCTATCATCATCGTAGATAAGGCCAGCACTTACTCGCTATTTCACCACAAACACAACACATCAGCTAAGACTCCATCATCATCGTAAATAAGGCCAGCACTTACGTACTATTTCACCACCAACACAACACATCAGCCAAGACTCCATCATCATTCTAGATAAGGCCAGCACTTACTCGCTATTTCACCACAAACACAACACATCAGCCAAAACTCCATCATCATCGTAGATAAGGCCAGCACTTACATACTATTTCACCACAAACACAACACATCAGCAAAGACTCCATCATCATTCTAGATAAGGCCAGCACTTACCCCCTAGTTCACCACAAACATAACACATCAGCAAAGACTCTATCATCATCGTAGATAAGGCCAGCACTTACATACTATTTCACCACAAACACAACACATCAGCAAAGACTCCATCATCATTCTAGATAAGGCCAGCACTTACCCCCTAGTTCACCACAAACATAACACATCAGCAAAGACTCCGTCATCATCGTAGATAAGGCCAGCACTTACCTCCTATTTCACCACAAACACAACACATCAGCCAAGACTCCATCCTCATCATAGATAAGGCCAGCACTTACCCACTATTTCACCACAAACACATCAGCAAAGACTCCATCATCATTATAGATAAGGCCAGCACTTACCTCCTATTTCACCACAAACACAACACATCAGCCAAAACTCCATCATCATCATAAATGAGGCCAGCACTTACT